CCCCCCCCCCCCCCCCTCCTTGTCTTCTAGTGAATAATTGCTGAATATGAGAGCAATAGATGTGTCATTTGACTGAGAAATTAAATCCCTACTTCCAGTCGCATTTTCTGCTGTATATTTGGCCGTTGGCGTGTTTGATTGTACTTGTTTTGGCTTTATTTTGAAGGCTAGGTTCTGCCTCTTCTTGTTTTGCTACGAACAGTTAGATTAGTGTACCAGTTTACTGGGTTGGAATTCTGATGAGCTTGAACAAATATAGAGCTGGCTAGATTTTGTTCTTGCTGGGTTCAAAAGATTAAAATGCATTTTTGTGAGAAGGAAGATCCAATTTACAATGTGATTGAGAGGAGCAGTTGTTTTAGTATGCATACGTTGAATCTGCCCCTATATTTTGCTTTATAATCGACAGTAGCAATCCTCTAATACCAAGGGATACAAAATTTACTTGTAGTAGTATACAAGCTTTTGTGTGTATGTGTGTGTGTGTGTGTGTTTATATTTTGTGTTCCTTTTTGGTTGTACCTTAATCCATGTGTGCTTAAATGTTATTTGTGTTCATTTAGCTTAGATTATAATTTATGTTCTTTTTCCCCTTCTCCGTTTCCAAAGCTCCTCTATCTTGAATATTTTTTATCCATCTTTTTTTCATTTTTTTTATCAATAGGCTGTAATCACTGATGAGAAGAATGGTACAGACCATGAAAGTAAGACAAATTCCAGTATCTTGTTCTTAGTAATCTTATTTTATTTTGTGTTCGATAATAAGTCACACTCTTAAGAATTCTACCTTTCTATTAAATTGTCACACGGAACAAACTTGTAAATCTTCTCTGAGGAATAGCTTCTTAATTAAATGCAGACCCAGCAGCAAGTATGGAGACATTTCCCCCCCATAATGGAGGGGACAGAGGGAGAGGCTATCAAACTCTTGAAAGTCCAAGTGGTATGCTCGTCATCTATAAGATTAGTATCTCTCATATAGTAGATCTGCAAGAAACTTGCAAGGCTATAGAATAGTCTGTTATGATAGGTAGTGCAGTTGGTGAAAATAATGATTAGAGATCGTTAGTTTAGTTTTTTTTCCTTTGTCTCTCTCAACTAGGGGTTTTGTATTTACTTTATAGATCTTTTAACTATTTAATATGACATTTTTTTTCCGTGTAGAAGTGGTTCTTTGTTTCAATTAATTAATTTATTTCTTCTTATGGCTAGATTTGGACATATTAAATGTAGAACATGAACTTACTTACATGGGATTGAGATGTGTTGTTCCCTGTTTCAACCAATTAATCATGAAGGTTGAAAATGTTGTGTCTCATGACCACTAGATGTTTTGACATTGTTTTCTATTGTGGTACAAGGCTCTTGAATCTGACCCGTTGAATGTTCCCTCAGCAAAACTAGGATAAAGTTAGGAAATTTTTGTCGATGTAAAGCCTGTTCCAAAAAGAACAGACTGACATTATATTGCGGTTGATTCATTTCTTATTGTGAACCAAACGTTTGATTCCATTTAACTGTGTGCAGATTCTCAGCAGCAAACATCAAATGACTGGAAGGGGGTATTTAGTGTAACATCTTACGCTCAATATTTCAATGTGGATTCAGACATTGTCTTGAATAGATTGATTAGTTCCTTGTATCCCCTTGGTGGAGATTTTTCTAGCAAGATTGATGCGAACCCTGACCTGTGAGTTTTTCATACTCTTTTAACCTCAACCATTTTTCTCTGTTTCTCTGATGGTATAGGATTATTGTGAACTTTCAAAAGCCAACCTTTTGATTTCTTTTCTTCTTTCAATTTGTTGTGCCTCTTTACCTGATCATTCAATAATTTATTTGTATGTTAATCTTGTTCTTGAAACTAAATGGATTATCTGACTCTTTTTTTTTTGGATTTTGCTATGACTTAGATATGGGCTTGTGTGGATCACCACTACATTGGTCTTTGTCCTTGCGGCACTTGGAAACTGTGCGACCTTCCTTATGCAAAAGCGAAGTGATCATGGTACTGCATGGAGCTTTGATGTCAGCTATGTGAATGTGGCCGCTGGGTCTGTTTATGGTTACGCGATCTTGGTGCCCATGGCATTTTACTTTTCACTTCAGTACTTGGGATCAAATTCTAGCCTCATAAGATTTTGGTGCTTGTGGGGCTATTCTCTGTTCATTTTTATTCTGGCATCTGTAAGCTTCTGGAATCCCTTCTGCACTTTTATTCTCTTCTTCTACCCATTAGACATTATCCATACATTTCTTAGCAGAATTTGACTTTTTCCGTACTCTTTACAATTTCCTTATTTTGATACTCCAGTCTCTTTTCATTTGCGAATAACTGTCATTTACTTTCGAATTTATTAGTTTCATAGCTTAGTGGATATTGTAGTGGGCATATGAGAGAAAAGAAAAAAAATGCTAAAAGAATACTGATTGGCTAGACTAGACATTTTATTTTAGGAGGACCTTCATGCGTTTTATTCAGAAAAAATCCATTATCTAATGGCGATTGTAACTGCATGATTTTTACATCTTTTTTTTTTTTTCTGTCTCCATAGTTTCTGTTGCTCATCCCGGTTGAATTTCTGCGCTGGTTCATTATACTCCTTTCTGGTGCTGCTTCAGCAAGTTTTGTTACTTTGAACCTGAGGTCCTATATTGAGGGAAATAATCTTTCAGTTATGGTAGTTGCTGCATTTTTCTTGCAAATGGCTTTGGCAATCTTCATCAAAGTGTGGTTCTTTCCTTGAGCGTGCTCACTCAGCTTTTTGCTATCTTCTGACCATCTTATGTTTGCTTTGTTTCTGAGTGCTGACCTCGTAGACTGAAGAATGATTTCCTCTTGGTTGGTTTGGAAGTTCTCGGTTCCTGGAATTCGTGTGATGGGAGTGTCAGAAAAAGAACATCAACAGCATAGTTTTTATGATTGGAAGTGATAGGCTTTTGTCGTGATAGCAGCATCTAACTTGTTCACGGTAAGTATTCTCAGATGGGCTTCCCTCTTTATGATTATTGACCGAGGAGAGTGGAATCTTTCATTGTCTTTGATTATAAATTTTCGTCTTGTATTCCACTAAAACACAGACGCCGTTGTAAATAGATGTTAAAGATTGTACTTTGCTGTAATTGAGTTTGAATATAGGTTCTTTGGTTGCCTCCTCCTTGAGACCTTTCACTTGATAGAAAGGAAAATGACTGGATATGAATTTCTTTGGACTTTTTCTTTCGAACTTCCTTGCAAGGTTTTTAAAACGCATCTAATACATTATATAGAATAGGAAGAGGAAGAGGTTTATATTGAATGCTTCGTTTTTTCCTCCAATCCACAGTGAAATCTCAACTGGTTCTCATCCATTCTTAATCTTGTGAGCCGTAGCACGAGCACCAGCCGCCTGGAATATGGGGGCGTTGTCCTTTGGCAGCTATCCACTGGCCATCCATTGAATTTTTTTCCCTTTCTGTCTGAAATTATTAATTTAAGACCCTCCACTCCCCTCTTAGCCGGCATATGCCGAGAGAGAGACGTGAAATCCACTACGGTCAAAGCCCAATTGCCGCCGCTTTAAGAGTCAATAACAAGGCGCCAGATTTCCGCCCGCCCTTCAATAGGCGGTCCGTTTTTTCTTCATCCTAACGCACTCAATCTCCATGGTTTAGATTGGTTGAATTAGATGAAACCAACGTTTATAAACTTAATTTTTAAAAATTTAAACAAATTTCTTACATAATAAGATCCATTTTAAACGCCAATTTATAGCACAACATTTTATAGGCTCCTCTTAGATTGATTTTCAGGGCATTATTAATAATGACACAAAATTTAACTGCCTTCCTTATTTGCTCATTACGATTTTATTTTATTATTGTTTTATTTAATCATTTTCTATTTGCAAATTCTGTTAACCGCCGGATTTTAACTGGAGTTTAGGAGTTTTCAGTTCACAATTTTTTTTTTTTTAAAAAAAAATATATATATAACCATCTCAAACAAAAATTAAATAAGAAAAGAACACGAAAAAAAAGGATCAATTTAAATTCTTAAATCTTGTAAAATTACCATTTTGATAATTTGATTTAGGGTTCATTTAATGAGTTTTAGTTTAGTATTTTCAATAAAATCTAAAATTGTCCTATCGAAAATAGTTAAATAATAATTGTGATTTCATACACGGTAAAAAAAATAATTTATGTAAGGAATAAAATGTTTATTTATTTATTTTTAATAGAAAGAATAATAAATTAAAAACAAGAAGCCGCATGTAAAAGAATAAAAATGGTACGGGTGAGTTGGTCAGAGTAGGAATCGAATCCGAGAATGAAGTTGGAACAATTAAAATCAAGTATTCCCAATCCTGCGTCCGCCTAACATTTCTGAAGCTTATATCAGCCTCCATTGAAAATTACTTGTTTTGTATTGTACTACAAACCAAACCCTCGCTGGCTTTCTTCAGTTTCTTTGTCTCCCTCCAGTTGACTCGCTACACTCTTCGAAATGGACTCCATGGATCGCTCTCGAGCTTTCCTTCGGGATGTCAAGCGCCTGGTTGTCAAGGTACCTCTGATTTCAACCACATTTTCATGTTTCCCGATGTTCTTTTTTAATTCGATTTTTTTTTTTTTTTTTTTTTTTTTTTTTTTTTTTTTTTTTTTTTTTTTTTTT